AAACCCCATCTCCCTACAGCACTCATGCAGATTTTGTATCTTGTTCCCTTAATATGTTTGTTTTTATGTAAGAATAAAACAAGTGACCTAACGTGACAAGAGTAGATCCTACAGAATTATGAGTCAGGTTTATTCTGTGTGTTCTACATATAGCATATTAGTTAGAGACCATGGAGTGTGAGGTGTGGCAGTGGGATGCTAGCTGCTATTTCCACAACTAGATGATTGAAGGTTCAATGTAAAACTTTTTCTTTATTTTAATTTTTTAAAAAAATTTTATTTATTTATTTGACAGAGATCGCAAGTAGGCAGAGAGGCAGGTAGAGAGAGAGAGGGGGAAGCAGGCTCCCTGCTGAGCAGAGAGTGCGATGTGGGGTTCGATCCCAGGACCCTGAGATCATGACCCAAGCTGAAGGCAGAGGCTTTAACCCACTGAGCCACCCAGGCGCCCCTAAAACTTTTTCTTTATTGGAACTTCTTGATTTCCAGTATTGTGGAAGAGCAGATAGTTGCACTGTGTGACTGGTAAACTAGAAAATTTTATGGACTGTTACAGTAGTAACATTAAAATATAACTTCCAGAGAGTACTTAATCTAAATAAATTATTCAAAATTTATAAAAGAGAATGTCAAGAAAGCAAATATTAGAGTAGAAAAAATGATTCCGAGAGGCATATTTTGAAGAACTTGTTTGCAGAAGTTTTAACACATACTATCTTTTTTCTTTTCTTGGTGACTCTTCAAAAACTTTAATTGTCTTAAGTTGAATTTTTACTTAAATATTATCTTTTCTATCCACGTTACTGTTGTTAATTTATGCAAGTGACCCCAAAGTTGTTTTTTTATTTTATTTATTATTAAATTACACCAACATTTCTTCAGCCAGCGTAATTCTGAGTTTTTAAAAATACTATCATTTTGTATCTAATAGTATTCTGGCTATACTGGGTTGTTTTTATGTTGATAAAATACTTTTCATAGACTGTGGGGTGAGGCGAATATGAACTATGTATTCCTGCAGATATTTTGAGGTAAAACTCATTTTGAGGCACATGCTTGAGCATAATTTGTGCTGATTATGAGGTGTTTTCCAGGAATGTAAAATATAATTCTGATGGCCTGTTGTAAATACAAATTCTAAGCCAAAGTTTTTAATACGCTGCAAATTACCTTACTTCAGTGGTTTTCCGATTTAAATTAACTTATGACCAGTCACCATATTGTTCAGGTCCTGATTACAAATCTGTATCAAAAGAAAATTGAATAGACTCCTCTTTCTTCATTGATTTTAATTTAAAAGTGAATTCATTTAGGATGCACAGAGTTACAGATTTCAAAAGTTTGATAAATCCATTTGAATTGTAGTATTAAAAATGTTTCCATAGGTTGTGTGTTTGGGGACCACCTTCCTGTGCTTTACTGTCTGTGGTATAAGACTCAGCATGTCTTATTGTGTAGATATGGCCATTACATTAGTGTGGTATTTTCTCTCCATTAACTGAAATCTGCATTTTTTTTTCATAGGGTTGTTTATTTGGTATAATGTTTTATTTTCTATTTATATATAATATATATTAACCATATACAGAGGGCTCCCTCAAGTGACCATATAGGACAAAATGATTCCTTTTATTCCTATTGGTATTGTAGGGAATGGTAGTATTTCTTTTTCTTTTTTTTTTTTTCTTTTTTAGAGAGACAGAGAGTGCGCGTGACTGTGGAGGCAGGGTGAGGGGCGAGAGGGGCCGTGGGAGAGGGAGAGAGAGAATCTTAAGCAGGCTCTATGTCCAGCATGGAGCCCACTCTCACAACCCTGAGATCGTGACCTGAATGAAATCAAGAGTCAGATGCTTAACCGACTGAGCCCCTGGAATGATAGTATTTCTGTTATTTTCTTTGCCATATACTTTTAAAATTTCCAGCTTATTTAAAAAATTGAGATGCAGATGCTTAAGCAGAACATCCTACCTTTTATAGGTGGTTCCTTATACCCTAATGGCTCTTTCCTGGCTAGTTGATCTGTTTCCTTCTGATGATCACATACTCCATGGTAGCATCAATAAGTCCTATTTATTTATATTTTTTCTTTTTCATTTATTTAAGATTTTATTTAATTATTTAACAGAAAGAGATCACAAGTAGACAAGAGGCAGACAGAGAGGGGGGAAGCAGGCTCCCCACTGAGCAGGGAGCCCAACGCAGGGCCCGATCCCAGGACCCTGAGATCATGACCAAAGCTGAAGGTAGAGGCTTAACCCATTGAGCCACTCCAGGCACCCCTCTTTTTTTTTTTTTTTTAATTTAAATTCAATTAGCCAACTTACAGTACATAATTAGTTTTTGATGTAGTGTTCAATGATTCCTTAATTGCGTATAACACCCAGTGCTCATCATATCACATGCCCTCCTTAATGCCAATCATCCAATTACTCCATCCCTCCACCTACCTCCCTTTCCACAACCCTCAGTTTGTTTCCCCCGGACTCAAGAGTCACTCATGGATTGTCTTCCTCTCTGATTTCTTCCCATTCAGTTTTCCCTCCCTTTACCTATGATCCTCTGCGCTGTTCCTTATATTCCACATATGAGTGAAATCATATGATAACTGTCTCTCTGATTGACTTATTTCACTTAACATTATACCCTCCAATTCCATCCATGTGATGGATATAAATGGTAGGTATTCATCCTTTCTGATGGTTGAATAATATTTCATTGTATATATGAACCACATCTTCTTTACCTCTTCAACTATTGAAGGGCATCTTGGCTCCTTCCACATTTTGGCTATTGTGGACATTGCTGCTATGAACATTGAGGTTCAGGTGCCGCTTGGGATTACTATGTTGGTATCCTTTAGATAAATACCCAGTAATGCAGTTGCTGGGTTGTAAGATAGCTCTACTCTTAACTTCTTGAGGAGCCTCCATACTGTTTTCTAGAGTGGCTGCACCAGTTGCATTCCTGCCAACAGTGTAAGAGGCTTCCCCTTTCTCCACATCCTTGGCAGCATTTGTTGTTCCCTGTCACGTTAATTTTAGCCATTCTGACTGGTGTTAGAATAGTATCTCATTGTGGTTTCGATTTACTTTAAAAATATTCTTGTGAAACACTTCTATGAGGTTAAAATTGCTCATAGTTAATGAATACTGGTAATCCTTTTGTCAAATTGGTCACATGCTTGAACTATTTGCATGTAGTGAGCTATAGAGTTAGATAAGTAACATTTCTAGTGGCTTTGTCTTCATTTTGGCAGTGAAGGAGTTAAACAGCTTTTGTGCATCTTCCCACTTTATTCATGTGCATCACCTTGTCTTCCTGGTGAGTTCTGTTTTCTTTCTGGGTTCTCTCTCTAGGATTCTTCTCTGTCTTTTCCTTGTGTCTCTTTCCCTTCTTGCTTTCCCACTTCCCCTTCTTGCTTTCCCACTTGCTTTGCGTTGGTAGTGTTTCTCTCTGAGTAAGTAAGGCGAAGAGCAGGGCATCATGCATGTTCATTTTCCTGTAGCTTGTGTGGCTGAATTAATGAGTCTGTCTCAGACAAAAACTGCAGGGACGAAGTCAGTGGTGGAGAAAAACGACTATGTTTTGGTCCTTGATATACTATTGAGCAAAAGGGTTGCTGCATCTTAAGCTTCCTCATTTAAAGGACTGCTCCCACACAGACTGGTGGGACAGGTTTCCAAGCATTTGACCAGAGCTGTCTGGGAATTTGGTTCAGGAAATTGGTAGCAGCTAACCTTTTAATTTAAATTCCAGTTAGTTAACATGCAGTGTAATATTAGTTTCAGGTGTACGATACAGTGATTCAGTACTTCCACCGGTGCTCATCACAACAAGTGCACTTCTTTTTTTTTTTTTTTTTTTTTTTTTTTTAAAGATTTTATTTATTTATTTGACAGATAGAGATCACAGGTAGGCAGAGAGGCAGGCAGAGAGAGAGGAGGAAGCAGGCTCCCCACTGAGCAGAGAGCCCGATGTGGGGCTTGATCCCAGGACCCTGGGACCATGACCTGAGCCGAAGGCAGAGGCCTTAACCCACTGAGCCACCCAGGTGCCCCACAACAAGTGCACTTCTTAATCCCCATCACACATTTCACCTATTCCCCTCACCCACCTCCCTTTTGGTAACCATTAGTTTACTTTCTATATTTAAGAGTCTGTTTCTTGGTTTGCCTCTCTTTGTCGTTTTTCCTATTTGCTAGCTTGTTTTGTTTCTTAAATTCCATGTATGAGTGAAATTTACCCAAAGAACACAAAAATATCAATTTAAGGGATATATGCACTCCTGTCTTTAATAGCAGCATCATCTACAGTAGCAGTTAACTGCATTAAATTGATCAGAAAGAAACACAGAAAGGTGGGGAACTGCTGTTTCTTCTCTTGCCAGGCATTTGGAACGATCACCTCTAGGAGTCTTTCTTAAAATGAGAGATTTCTATATTAAAATGTGTATTAACCTTTCCTAACCATCTTTATTATTTTCTCCATTTACCAGATATTAGGTTGAATTAAAATTTGTAAGTTGAAATTTGTAAGGCTTAGTAATTTTATATCTTATGAAAACAATTCTTGGTAGCTCTTTTTGTAAGGAAGGTCAGCCTTTAGTGATATAAAGATGTATCCTTTAGCTTTTAAGAATTCTGACTCTAATTTTTAGTACCAGGGTTTTTTTGATGGAGTTGGTGTATGTTTGCATAGAACTGTCTTTCTTTGAGAATACTAGAACATAAGCTTTAAAAAAATCTATCTGAGGGGCACCTGGGTGGCTCAGTGGGTTAAGCCTCTGCCTTCGGCTCAGGTCATGATCTCAGGGTCCTGGGATCGAGCCCCACATAGGGTTCTCTGCTCAGTGGGGAACCTGCTTCCTCCTCTCTCTCTACCTGCCTCTCTGCCTACTTGTGATCTCTGTCAAATAAATAAATAAAATATTAAAAAAAAAATCTATCTGAAATTTTATCATAATTGGCAAATCACTACTTATATTCATTGTTTTCATTTAGGTTTTTTCCCAAGCAGTTCTCAAGGGTGTGATGCATTTCTTCGCCACAAGATGACACTGATATCTCCGTCAGTATTGAAGAAATATGGTATTCCCTTTGATAAGGTAAATTAGTATTATTTTTTAACATTCATTTTATATGCATAGTATTTATATGTAAGACAGATTTAACACAAACTAATATATCCTTGACTTAAAATAGGGTTTTTAGGATGTGGGGAGAAAAATTCAGATTCATGTTTTATAACATAACAATTATTTATCTGAGTACTAATTTGAAATGACTTTTTTTTTTTTAAGATTTTATTTATTTGACAGAGAGAGAGATCACAAGTAGGCAGATAGGCAGGCAGAAAGAGAGAGGGAAGCAGGCTCCCTGCCGAGCAGACAGCCCGATGTGGGGTTCGATCCCAGGACCCTGAGATCATGACCTGAGCCGAAGGCAGCGGCTTAACCCACTGAACCAGCCAGGTGCCCCATTAAATTACCTTTTTTTTTTTTTTTTAAAAAGATTTTATTTATTTATTTGACAGAGAGAGAGAGAGATCACAAGTAAGCAGAGAGTCAGGCAGAGAGAGGGAGAGAGAGAGGGGAGCAGGCTCCCTGCTGAGCAGAAAGCCTGATGGGAGGCTCGATCCCAGGACCCTGAGATCATGACCTGAGCTGAAGGCAGAGGCTTAACCCACTGAGCCACCCAGGCACCCCCCATTAAATTACTTTTATTTCAGGGTACATTTACTATAATTTCATGCTGGTTATAGTTCACTTATAATAATACTAAAAGTAAAATGCAGGACATTCAACAAAATAAGATGTAGCACTTCTACATTAAAGTCTTTTATATGGGGGAGCCTGGGTGGCTCAGAGGGTTAAAGCCTCTGCCTTTGGCTCAGGTCATGATCCCAGAGTCCTGGGATCGAGTCCCGCATCGGGCTCTCTGCTCAGCAGGGAGACTGCTTCCCCACCCTGCTCTCTGCCTGCCTCTCTGCCTATTTGTGATCTCTGTCTGTCAAATACATAAATAAAATCTTAAAAAAAAATAAAAAATAAATTAAAAAAAAAGTCTTTTATATGAACAACATAGTTTATGTATATGTGATCTATTTTTTAAAAAGAACTCAGAGGCACCTGAGTGGCTCAGTTAGTTAAGCATCTGACTATGGCTTAGGTCATAATCTCAGAGACCTGGGATGGAGCCCCTCCCGTGGGCTAGGCACTCAGGAGGGAGTCTTCTTGTCCCTCTTCCCCTCCCCTCACTTGTGTGCACAGGCTTGCTCTCTCTTTCTCTTATGTAAATATAAATCTTAAGAAAAAAGAACTCAGAACAATTATCATTAGTTTGGTTGGTTAGAGTCTATGATTACGATACCAGTATGTTGCTTCTAAACATATTCAGACATAAAACAATTGAGAGGTCATTATGAATAAAATTGCCTGATGATTTAATAATCAGAAGTTGCTTCTTTGAAATATTTCTGAAGATTAAATTCTGTAAGACTCAGTACGTACTAGGTTCCTCTTTCTTTGTGCCCATGGGTAGTTACTGGGTCAGAATTATTATGAGCATGAGAACTTTTTTTTGAACATGAGAACTTTTATGTGAAGAAGCCAAAGTGACAAAAAGCTTTTGACTAGATAAATAAAAGCTCGTCTCAGTTAGAAGAGGATTTAGTAATTAGCTACTTGTGAACATATTAATAGCTATACTCTCTTCTTCATCTTTTTTTCTTCATTTTTTAATTTGACTTTTCTTCCATAATATTTGTTGTTTTTCACTTTAGAAGTTTTTCACTTGTGACTAAATCTTTACCTCTTCTTAATCCCCAGCCCTGAAAGCACATCCCCCCACCCCCAGCTTTGTTCAGTGTAGAATTTTTGTAAGGATGAGGAGTCATTCTCCAACTTGGAGGTGGTTGCTGCTCACTCACAAACTGTCTATGCTGTATTCATGCATGAGATGAGACATATTTGTCTTGTGTGATAGGGATGCTCTCACCAATGTTTTACTCGCATAGTCTTAGCCTTGACAAAAAGCAGGTCTTTGAGATGTATACTGTGGGGGGTGTGCCTGTGTGTGGAGAGAAGCTGGTGATGGACTAAGCACTGTCACAGGTACAGAGGGCAGGGGCTGTGTCCCCCAGATGGGCCACTGCGTCCCCCAGATGGGCCACTGCCACTGTGAGGTTCTGTCTTACTTACAGATACCTCTAGGCACTGGGCTTTTCAGTCTCAGACACATCATCAGTGGGTCTTTCTTTTAGGTGGTTGGCATTAACTTAATTAGACACTTCTATTTAAGTTGGAATTTTAGAAGAGAGAGGAGAATGAATGGATTAGTCTCCCAAGAACAGAAAATCCTTAATGATTTTAGGGCTGGTGATAGATACTGATCAAGCTGGTCTTTGAAGAGAGGGTTCTGTGAAATAGCAGAGTGTGGGATTGTTTCATTTCCCCAGGATTGGAGGCCTTTGGAGCTTGTAGCTCCTTTCCAAGCTCTGGGGAGAAGGAGGCAGGTGCCCTGCACCCCTTTCTGGGCTGTGGCTTTTCAGTACTACTTGGTAAATTACCAGATGACATGTTCTCCTTTGATCTCTTGAGGTTGGGACATTTCATGGCTTCTGAAGACACCAGTGCCTCACCATCTGATTGACATTTGCAGTTTTTTATGCGAAATACTGCCATTTCCCCTTCCATGTTGACGAAGAATATGTGATGACTCTGTACTCCTCGAGGAACTTATTCTCTGATGATGATAATGTAACATGGGACAGAGTAGTGTAGGCTTCTGAATTAAACTTCCCAAGTTCATTCCTGTTTCTGTCACTTGGGGAAATTACATAATTTCTCTGAGCTTCAGTTACTTTAGCTGGAGAACGATGATAATAATAATACCCACTTAATAGGACTATTATGAGGATGAAAAGAGATGATCTATAAAAAGGCTTTGCATAGCCTTCTTTCTCCTCATTTTGACCCTCTTTTTAGGCAATCATTTCACAGTCAAAGTAACATTTTTTTCCTTTTTCTTTCAATGTATTTGCAATTTTATATATATATATATATATATATATATACACACACATATACATGTATATATATGTTTAATAAACTGATAATATCTGCTTTTAGATTATGTGTACTTTTCCTTTCCAACTTCTTTTATGATATGGAATTGTGATGATTGTTTAGTCTTTTAATAAAAGGGACTTGTTCTTTTCTGTCACTGTGCTTTCTTATGTACATATTACGCAGAGGCAGTAAAATAAGCCAAAAAATATTTTGGCTAACTGAGACTCACTGTTTCTGGACATTATATAGAAGCATAAAATTTAGAGTCCCTTTCAATGGGAACAGGTACTCTTTTTCAACATGGCAAGAACAGAGTTTTCTAGGTAGAGTAGAAAAGGATTGTGGGTGGGATTCAGTGGAGCAGTGAAGGTAGTTACTTTATCCCAGTGGCAGCAACCCTACCCTCTTCACCCATATGTGTAGGGTTAGAAATAGTTGACCAGCTTGAGTTTTGTTTTATCACATAGTACAGGGAAGTGCCTAGTTTCAAGCCCACTTATAATTAATGAAATTCAGTTAGACCAGGAAAGGAGAGAACCAGGCTGTGTTGTCATGTGGCTCAGAATGATGGAACTGGAACCATGTTGAACACTGAGGAGTCGTTCTTCGCTTGCCAGGTGGCAGCAGAGTGCTGCTCATTGTAGTAGAACACCTTCTGGGCTGTCATGGGCCAGAGGGCGATGAGATAAATTTCAGATTTGTTGTAAAAGAAAATACTTCTACATACAACATTTTTGTATACCTAAAATGGCAACTGAATTGCCTTGTGTGCATCTGTATTTATACAGTATGTCTCCTATATGTCTACATACACATACATACTCCCAGATTCATTTCTCAGCATTTTAGGACTGAATTGAACCATGGTGACAAAATGAACCATAGGTAATACATTTGATAATCCATCATAGTATAGGTAAATTTTTAAAAAAGAGCAGAAAATTTTTGCATTACTATTTTTCTATAGCTCATGGTGTGATTTGTGTGTTTTGGTGGTTATAAAAAGCCAGATTTCTTTAACCTAAAAAATAGGAATGGAATAAATGTATTTCTCATGTTTGCTTTTAAGCTCTGACTGGTTTACCCAAGTTTCTTTAATTATATTTAAAGATGCACTCACACATACATATTTGAGTTCTTTGATAGAAATTTTACTATTAAATGGAATATAGTTAATTGTATGTTTTCTGAGTATTATGAAAGAATAATTTGGTGAATACCGCCAACTCTTTAGCAACAGAATTCATAGTAAACCCTGTTGAGGGTGCATTATTAGAGTTTCTATAGCTGTAACTTCAAAAAAAAAAAAGAGTCAAAATAGGTCCCATTACAGAACTACAGTAATATGAATTTTTAAAGTATTAAAATATGCAGGTTGAGTGCTAAAACAAATTTACTTGGATAACTTAAAAACATCTTCGTATAAAATATAATATCTTTGATTATGGATTGAATGATTGAACAACATTGCCGTAAACAGGGTCATACCCTGTTTAGAAAAGTCTTTAATGTTTCCTGAAAAACTGTTAATGGATTGGGTAAAGATCTAGGGCTACTTCCTTTATATTAGATAGCTCTGATATCATGGCATTTTTTTCCTTTTCTTTATTGGAAATATATTTTAATTGTATTTGCAACTTAGAAAGTCTTATAACTAGAAAATATTATATGTTTTCTACTCTACAGATCACTCAGGAGGCTGGAGAATTTATGATCACTTTTCCATATGGCTACCATGCTGGGTTTAATCATGGTTTCAACTGTGCAGAATCTACAAATTTTGCTACAGTTCGATGGATTGACTATGGGAAAGTTGCTAAATTGGTAAGTTATGCCTCAAAAATAAAGCATAAATTAAATATGTATTCTGGTTATTGTAGCAGGAAACCCTAAGATCACATGAAACAGTTTTTTTCCTTCATTGATGTTGTGTGCTTCTTATCATGATAATTTATTTCAGACCACGTATATTTATTTTATATGAGCTATATTATCATTTGTAGCTATAGTTCTCTGTTTTGAGATTAATGTGGAGCAGAGGTAATTTTTATGCAGCTGATGTTTGCTTTCTTTCTTAAAGCCACCAATTGTATTTTTGTGAGATTTTTTAGTGGCTCCCTGTGGCTCCACGTTAGGTAGACTTTGCTCTGTCCAAATTGAGTTTAGTCCATGGCTTAGAAAACAACTACTTACAGAGGAAAGTTTCTGTTAAAACTGTAGTAAGAGGTTGAGGGAGGATGGTAAGAAGAAATGATTAAAATTGCCTTTAGTACAAACATGAATTTCTTGAAAGTAATATAGAATATACTTTAACAAGAAATATATCTTTATGTTAAATTTGGTATAAAATTTTGCATCTCCTGCTCAGTTATATTTAATTTAGTTCACACACTGTGTATTTTCATTCACAGGGCATAACTTCTATTTAATTTAATTAATCTCCCTCTGTGGTGTTAAATAGAAGACATCTTCAAAGAGGTGGTAGCTTCCATTAGGTTGCTTTCTTTCCTGTGGCTTTGAAGGCAGAAGTACAGGCTGGCAGAGGGGAGCTTCTAAATGAAACTGTATATTTTACAGAGTATGTAAAATTGACACAGATTTAGTGGAACGTGACACATACAACTTATATGGCTGTCTCTCGGCCACAGTATGAGTATTATTCATTCTACATTGATAAAACTTGCATATAGAACCACTGGGTGAACTTGGATAGAAATATATTCAGGGAAGAGAACACTAGGTTTAATTTAGATGTGTATTTAGAGAATTACATAGTATATTAAAAAGAAACTATAGCCCTTTGACAGCCTAGGAAGCATTTGTGTGAACTTGGCGAAAAAAAGAAACCTCCTGCTATTAGAACACTTTTTCTGTTTAATTTCTGTTTATGAGGGGTAATTTAGAAAGGAACAGAACTGAACTACTTCTTCCCAGTACACATCCTTCATATTATAATAAACCTAATAAAAAAATAGAAAACTCAGAGTATGTGTCTTGGCCAGCTTACAGTGCTTTCACAGAAAGGTAATGCTTGTATCTGCATTGAAATGGAGGCATAGACCCGTAGTTCTAGCAAGGTGTGATTATTTTATGGTTTGCATCTTTAATCATTGACATAAGAAGTCAGCTATCACAGCTGTTCAGTTACCAGAAAAATTGGTGCTTGTTTACTATGGGTTTCAGATCTAGTTCATGGTATTGGTACCCTGGGGAGAATAGCTTCTCCCCAAAGCTAAAATGTTCTAGGTGGGTTTCCACATTTCTTTGTGCTTGTGGAATGGAACTGGGGTATGACCAAGGGAGGGAGGTTGGGTAGTGGTCCTTTCTGAAATCACAGCTAACAGAGCCTAGGACTGTGGGACTAAGAAGTAGAACACCATAGTGGAGGAGGCAGGGGTCTAAGGTCCCATTTTTCTTCTAGCTAACCACATATCATTAGGACAGTCATTTATTTATTTTGTTAGTTTCTTCCTCTATAAATTAGAAATACCTCTCCACCCCATAGACTTACTATGAGGGGAAAAAAATCTTAGGTATGTGGATATCCACTAATGCTGTGTTGATTTATATCATTCAGTTTAGTTAAAGAATATGACTGTCTTGGTTTTGGTATTTTGCTAGGTACAAAATTGTTCAATGACTATGATGCAGTTTTGGCTAGTTGGTTAAAAATTGTTTTAATTGCATGTGTTTGAGATGTTTTTAGGTGTTGCCTCTACCTTTCCCTTACTTTTGGTGATGTGGTTCTCCTCCTCTGAGAATGTATTTGTTTTCTATTGCTATTGGAGCAAACTACCATAAAAGTACTGGTTTAAAACAATACCCACTTACCATGGTTCTATAGGTTATAAGTTTGATATTAGTCTCACCAAGCAAAAATCAAAATTTTTGCAGGGCTGCATTTCTTACTGAAAATGCTGTTGAAGAATCCATTTCCTTGCTCAGTCAGGTTGTTGACTGAATTCAGTTTCTTGAGGTTGTAGGACTGAGTTCCCATTTTCTTGCTGCCTGTTATCTAGGTCTTTGCTCCTGGAGGTATCTCTCAGGTCTTTCCATGTGGTCTCCTACATTTCAGAGCAAGCAAAATCCCTTTTGTCATATAAGATGACATATTCACAAATTGCAGGGATTGAGACATGGATATCTTTGTTGGTGGGGATGGGAAGGTTAGGGCAGTATACTCTCTACCACAGAGAGTTCCAGTCAATAATTGACATGGTGATATATTAAGAGTCTTCTGTGAGTAGATGTAACTAATTTCAGTTATTTTATACAGGAACTGGAAACTAAATTTATAACGGATACAGTTTTGAATGTTTCACTAAAACATACTTATGCTTTTTTAAATCATATCCCTCAATTTTATTTTATTTTTTTTATATCCCTCAATTTTAATATTTTCTTGATTAGTCTCATTAAATAAGTTCTCTTATATTGTAGGGTGCTATGATGGCATTTTTGTGCATATTTTGGTGTCTTTGTAATTTTTTTGACACATTTTTATTGATCTCCAAGTCTGTTTCTTTACACAGCAATATGAATACTGTATTGTGTGCATGTGTGCATGCATGTGTGTGGTGTAATTTTTAATTTTGGGAAAGTTTGTGAATTGGACAGTTAATTTTTGTGTTTTGCTGGGAACAAATGTATAATGGATTAGTTATGACCTGTACCTAGAAGACTTTTAGCTTTGGGATGCCTGGGTGGCTCAGTCAGTTAAGCATCTGCCTTCGTCATGATCCTAGGGTCCTGGGATGGAGTCCCACATTAGGCGCCTTGCTCAGCGGGGAGTCTGCTTCTCCTTCTGCTTGCTGCTCCCCCCCCCGGCTTTTGCTCTCTCTCTCTCTCTCTCTCTCTGACAAACAAATAAATCTTAGAAAAAACCAAACATACTTTTAGCTTTGAGGATGCCTAAGTTAATTCTTAAACTAACGAAGTTTTGCCTACTGAATTCTTTGCTTTATCTAGCTTATTCTAAATGATAGCTATTATTATACTCAGGGCTAGTTTCATATTTGTGTATAGTAGCATCTGAAGGATCCTATAAGTCCTATCTATCTATAAATATTTCCCCTTCAAGTACCCAAAGTTTTATGACTTTATGTTTTTATGGTTATTTGAGATTAGGGTACCTACAAACACATGTACTTGAAAAAATATATTTTAAGCCTCTAATTAAAAAAAAGAAATAGTTATTATTCACAAGGGATGATTTGTGCTTTTGAGGGGGGCAGATAATTTAAAAAATAATGGCATGGTTTTTCATAGTTGAAGGATTGGGGAAATGAGATCTCCTTTACTTGTCACATGGGTAAGAATACATAAAAGCTTCCAAGACAGAGTCTCTTTGTGGGACAGAATTAATGTGGTATAGCATGTGGGTCTGTACTGGTTATATTTTATATATTACAAACCAATATTTCTTAATTTGATGACTTAGAAAAGAGCTTTACAAAGCCCTATTTTTAAAAAAAAATATTTTATTTTTTCAATGTTCCAAGCTTCATTGTTTATGCACCACACCCAGTGCTCCATGCAATACGTGCCCTCCTTAATACCCACCACCAGGCCCTCCCAACCGTCCACCCCCCTCCCCTCCAAAACCCTCAGTTGGTTTCTCAGAGTCCACAGTCTCTCATGGTTTGTCTTCCCCTCTGGTTTCCCCCAACTCACTTCTCCTCTCCTTCACTCAGTGTCCTCTGTGTTATTCCTTAAGCTCCACAAGTAAGTGAAACCATATGATAATTGACTCTCTCTGCTTGATTTATTTCACTCAGCATAATCTCCTCCAGTCCTGTCCATGTTGATATAAAAGTTGGATATTCATCCTTTCTGATGGAGGCATAATACTCCATTGTATATATGGACCATATCTTCTTTATCCATTTGTCTGTTGAAGGGCATCTTGGTTCTTCCCATAGTTTGGCGACTATGGCCATTGCTGCTACAAACATTGGGGTACAGGTGGCCCTTCTGTTCACTGCATCTATATCTTTGAGGTGAATACCCAGTAGTGGAATTGAGGGGTCATAGGCTTGCTGTATTTTTAATTTTTTTAGGAATCTCCACACTGTTTTCCAAAGTGGCTGCACCGGCTTGCATTCCCACCAGCAGTGTAAGAGGGTTCCCCTTTCTCCACATCCTATCCAACACTTGTTGTTTATTGTCTTGTTAATTTTGGCCATTCTAACTGGTGTCAGGTGGTATCTCAATGTGGTTTTGATTTGAATCTCCCTGATGGCTAATGACGATGAACATTTTTTCATGTGTCTGTTAGCCATTTGTATGTCTTCTTTGGAGAAGTGTCTGTTCATGTCTTCTGTCCATTTTTTAACTTGATTATTTGTTTTTTTGGGTGTTGAGTTTGAGAAGTTCTCTATAGATCTTGGATATCTGCCAGCTTTTCGCCATTGAGAATGATATTCGCTGTAGGTTTTTCATAGATAGATTTTATGAAGTTGAGGAATGTTCCCTCTAT